GATTGACTGGTTTGACCTCCTAGCAGTCCAGGGGACTCTTAAGAGTCTTCTCCAGCACAGTACTGTGTAGTGGGATAGAGAAATGTTAAGGTGTACTATGTACAAGAGTGTGCTTATAGACGAGTGAGAGTTGGGTATGCAAGGAAAATCCTAAAAGTTAAATAGAGTGAGAATGGGGTACTTGTGTATGTGATCAAAAGGAAGAGATATTAGATTAATACCTCACTTTTATTTTCTACAACTCCTACCTCCTATTTTGCCCAAAATGATAATCCTGGTGGTTGGGCACAGAGAGAGGGAATGGTCCAAAGTCCCCAGCCAGCTTTCCTCCCTAAGGAAGAAGTAAAAATGGTAAGATTCCCAGTTCCTAGTTCAGCACCTTTGCCACTACACCTCCTTGGCTCTCCCGATAAGGTCAAGAAAGAATGAGAGCTGAAAATACATGGATTGAATGAAGGACTAGAATGGAAGAACACTTGGTGGTTTGTTCATCTCAATGTATGGACTTCAACTCCCAGAATTCCCCAGCCAGCATGGGTGGACTCCAACTCCCAGAATGAAGTCCACACATCTTAAAGTTGCCCAGTTTGAAACAACACTGATCTAGAGAGAATGAATGAGGACTGAAATGGAAAACAAATACAGGAAGGAAGAGGGAATGAGGTTGAGAGGAAAGCTGGGGTTGGCTAGAGTAATGAAACCCTTAAAAAGAGAGAACTGAAAAGTTTAAAGAAAGGCAATATACCGAGTTGTATATGACTCTGTATGGCTCAGTTTGTCAGGCTAGAAAGGCGAGTTATAAACTAGGTTTAGCTACCTTCCTCCTCTTTTTCTTACCTCATGCATTAATTCCTTTGGCTTACTAATTTTAATCCTTTTCACGCATAATGTTTCTTATGTTCTGTAAGGGAAGAGTGTGATACATATTCTTATGTGCACTTTACTGAATTTGGGATTATCGTACTGTGAACCAAATAAAAAGCAGAATCCCTAAATAAGTTTCTAAAATCAGAACCACCAACTCGTCTTCCTCACTAAAAGCAAAGGGAGCTCACAGATAGGCCAAATTCCAAATACGTTGTCCCCTTAGACCTCCATTTTCATGGACCTGGATTGGGGCATCAATTTTATTTAGTGCAACCAGCTGCCTCTTACTACCCCTAGTTATCTTTCTGCAACTAGATTTTTGTCTTCCTTTCTTCCCCAACAGCAGCAGTGGCCACCAGTATGTAACGTTTTCCTTTGCTAGCCAAAGAGAAGACATCATGGGGTGAAAGACAAGATGAGCCAGCACCTAATCCAGTGTTTCTCAACCTTGGCAACTTTAAGATATGTGGCCTTCAACCCCCAGAATTCCCCAGCCAGCATGGCTGGCT